TGTAGACATATCCTGTCAGTTAGTGCAATATGTTGGTCTTGTAAGCCTTTTATGTATATTTTGTTGGTTTACGAGCCGTAGTAGTTATGACGGCCTTGTTGGCCCAACTTTATATTAATGTTTAGTCAGCATTCACAATTGTCTTGCAATGTGGCCCATGGCCAAAGTGTGACATTATATGTTCAGAGTCCCTTAATCGCAAGTTGGTACGCAAGGATAGGTGAGGCACCGGGTGCCGGTCTCGCCCCCAGGTTCGGGGCGTGATAGAAGTGGTATCAGAGCAGTTCTGTTTTAGGGAGTCTACAAGCCATGTCTATAGAGTCTTGTTTATGGGTGTGTTGTGCACCACACTTATAAGCAGGAGGTTACAGGGCATTTAGGATTGTCACTCTTTCTTCTTACTCTAGATCGTGTGGTAGAGCTCAGTTGTAAGAATTCAAATTCCTAACTTTTATTTTATTCGTAATAAGAAGATACCTACATCCATAAAGACATTTGGTAAGAGATTGAATGTGGCTATGGAAGAGTTGAGTTAGAGGGATTCGATTTTTCATGAGGCGTATGATAAGTAAATGTAAGGTCTTCAGTAGATCATGTGTGTACTAAGACGTATAAGCCTCTTGTTAAGGAGCCTTGAGGCAAGAATACCTATCCACCTTTATGGTGAAAGACAATGAGGGATTCAGAAGATAAATATAAGTTTCAACAAGTAAAAGAAGCAAGATGAAGAAAGGTACGAGGCGCCTGTTAATGAAGGTTAACCGTATTTACAATTCAGGCAGAGGAATATAAACTTTTTGAGTTACATTCAACAGTAGCATAGGTATGCACAATTGGCTACATCGATCTTAGTTGTGCCCTATGGGAACTAACAGATATGGTTCAAGAGAAGGACGGGATATCAGGATCCGGCTGGGGTTAGAGTGACCCAAAATGGTGGATGAATTGTTTGCATTAGTTGACTTTTCTAATAGATCTTTTTGTGAGACACCCAGATGATGCACTCTAGAATATTACAATTAGATGTGAATAATAGCATGATCAAAAAGAAAATTCAGAAGATAGGCACTAAAAGCCTGGAAGGGATAAATATTACCTTAGTGTGACTCTCGTCCCTAGTAGAGCGAGGACCTTGAGCAACCTGAAGAGCCGATGAATGAAACAAGGGGAACTAAAAGCAAAAGAATGTCTTATTGAAGTTTTCAGAATAATGTGATAGACATAAATGTTAACGGATAAGAAGAGAGTCAATGAAGTATTATGAGTAAGATATGATACATGAATGGCAACGTTAGGTCAAAAAATGACAGTATTACAGAGTCAACAGTCAAGTGAAAGAAAAGAAGGAAGGTGACAGGCCTTGAGACAACAAAAAAGTATAGTCCATAAAGTCATATCCTCATTTTGAGGAATAAGTTTGTGACTTCAACGCGACTACCAGAAGGGAGAGTTAAACCCTAAAATAATAGAAATCAGTATGCGCTGGTGAATAAGATAAACTAAACATGAATTAGGGATTTAGTGATTTGATAATGGTCGACATCATGAAAATTTCAGATTTCCTTCCGGCAGTAAAAGAATGGACAATGGAAGAAAATTCATGAGAAATTCAGAGAATGGTCATTTAGGAAGACGCTTCCCTAAAGTAAGCAATGTGAGAAAAGTTAAGCTTAAGAGACTGTATATGCCAGTTTATAGTAATTGTCACCCTCACGAGTAAGGAATTTCATTATCCTTAGTACAGAATGATTACCGTAAGGAGAGTAAGGGTCATCGATGATGGGAAAGGACGCCAAAAATGAAGAGGTAAAATATCTATAGGCAGATTGTCGTATCTCCAACTCTTAGTACTCCCCTAAAGGGGGGAATATGGAGTGACATGATATTAAGTCAGAATTAAGTGGTTCTAGTAACTATGGAATGGCAAAGAAAGAATGCGACAAAAATAAGACAAGGATGAAATTGCGCTTATTCAAATACTATAGATTATGCAAGATAAACATAGTAAACTCCAACATGAAGCATTCAGTCTCGCAGGTATGACATCGTAACCTTGAGAAATATTAAGATAGAAGTTGGGGTAGTAAAGGTACCGTATAAGGGTTACAGAGATAAAAGAGAGTGCCACTGGGAAGACAATCAAAATATCAGCTCAGAAGCAACCTTACGAGCCCAAGGACATGAAGGTAAGTAAGTAAGGATAATTACAAGTAAGAAAGAACATCAAAAATTCCGCTGGACAAATGATGTAATAACCTCTGATCAGATGGTAATTTATATATCGAGCCTATTGTGGCCGAGCGCCTATGAGCGAGCCTAGTTGGCCGAGATACAGAGCCTAGTATGGCCGAGATACAGAACCTAGTATGGCCAAGCGCCTATGAGCGAGCCTACTACGGCAAAGCAGTTATATATATATATACCGAGCCTTATAGGGCCGGACAACTATTTTACTTACTATATTGAGAGAGTTAAATCAGTATCAGCAGGTAAGCATATCTTCAGATTATCTTTGACTTCCAGTTACTTTCAGTTATTATATTATCAGTTCAATTTCAGCTTTCAGTATATTACCTTACATACTCGGTACATTATTTGGTACCGACGTCCCTTTTCTGGAGGCGCTGCATTTCATGCGTGCAAGTTCAGACAGACAGACGAGTAGACCTCCCCATTAGGTGTTGCCAGAGTTCAGCTTGATCGCTAAGCTCCATGCCCTTCGGAGTTGCCAGGTCTAGAGCTTTATGTACATCTTGTGTATATATGTATATATGTTATGAGTAGGTCGGGGCCCTGTTCTAATCACAGTATATCCATCAGTAGAGGCTTGTAGACATATTCTGTCAGTTAGTGCAGTATGTTGGGCTTGTAAGCCTTTTATGTATATTTTGTTGGTTTGCCAGTCGTAGTAGTTATGACGGCCTTGTTGGCCTAACTTTATATTAATATTTAGTCAGCATTTGCAATTGTCTTGCAATGTGGCCCATGGCCAAAGTATGACATTATATTTTCAGAGTCCCTTAGTCGCAAGTTGGTTCGCAAGGATAGGTGAGGTACCGGATGCCGGTCTCGCTCCCAGGTTCGGGGCGTGACAGGTCAACTGCTGTAATATGCTATGTATTGGATCTAATCCGCCACAAATTATAATGGAAGGCTATTTCAATAGAATTTGGAAAGGGAAGGAAATCGACAAAATAGCCCAAGTGAATCGTGGAGTGTTCGTAGTAAGGTTCACAAATGTGGATGACAGAGAAAATGTTGTAGAAGAGGGAGTGAAAATGTTTGATAGAAAACCTATTGTAGTAAAGCCATGGAAAGCAGATTGTGATGTTACAAAAGATAAGGTATACAGGATACCAATATGGATAAGGCTAGTAGGACTGGATGTCAAATACTGGGGGAAGAATTCCCTGACTAAGATTACAAGCCTGATTGGGACTCCTCTAAAGGCAGACAAAGCAATGACTAACAGAGACAAAATGACATATGCAAGAGTATTAGTGGAAATTCCCTTGAATCAAGAGTATCCAACTAGTGTGATGTTTGAAAATGAGTATGGAAGGATTGTTGAGCAAAAAGTAGAGTATGAATGGAAGCCTGTGTTATGTGCGAAATGCAAGAACTTTGGCCATGACATAATGAACTGTAGGAAGCAACAAAGAGAAGAAATAGCAAAAATGGGCCAAGGCAATAGAGAAGAGAAATAAGAGAGACAACAACGACCCATTAATGTGGGGACTAACCAATAAGCAAGAACATGGAAGAAGATAAGTAATGAGGCAGGACCAGGAAATCAGATAACACGGGTAAAAGGAATAAAAGCAGAGCAAAATGCAGAGCAAGGAAAGAGGAAGGAATGGAATGGTAAGCAATTACCAACCCCACAGAAAAGTAGATATGAGAAAGGTGGTACAACAACAAGCAATTCATTTGTCAGTTTAAACATAGCAGAAGCAGGGGAGAGCCTAGAGATTACTAGACAAGATGTTCAAAACAGCAGTAGGAGAGGTACATGCCCTGGATATGGTACGAGTGAGGGAAACCTCAACCCCAATGGAAAGGATTGGATTTTAGAATACAAGGGGTTCAAATAGGATTGATAAATAGAATGAGATGCGTGTGTTCACGCGTAACTCCAATGTCAGCCTATTTGGACTTCTAAAAACAAAGATTAAGAGACAAAAGGCTCAAAAAGCTACTCTTAATCTTTGTAGTGATTGATCGTTTACAACAAACTTAACAACACATCTAGGAGGGAGAATATGGTTAGTTTGGAAGCCAATGGTTTTCAATGTAATGTATGCTTGATTGAAGAACAAATAATTCATTGTGAAGTACAACATAGAGGCACAGGGAAGTGGCTTAACATATCAATAGTGTATGGTTTCAATGACCAAGCTCTTCGCAGAAGTTTATGAAAATCAATAATGGAGCTGAACAATACGTTTAAGGACCATGGACAGTCATGTGGAATTTTAACTATATTATGAGTAGTGAAGAAAGGGTTGTAGGCCTGTTACAATGGCTGAAGTAAGAGAATTCAAATATTGTGTTGAGGCATGTGGGCTGCAGCATCTCAGATCATCATGATCCTACTACACCTGTAACAACAAGCAACAAGGAAGTGATAGAGTCTATAGCAAGATAGACAGGGTTCTAACAAACTATGAATGTATAATGGACATACCAGCATCAGAGGTATATTTTGTGAATGAGGGGCTCTTTGATCACTGCCCTGCAATCATAAATTAGGAAGAGGAGATTCAGCATAAGAGGAAACAATTCAGATATTTCAACATGTGGAGCCTATCACCTTTATTCCAAAAGAGTATTAAGGAAAGCTGCCAGCCATGTATACCAGGAAGAAAATGCACCAACTAGTTGGTAAATTAAACAGACTGAAAAGAGACCCAAAGGAACTAAGAGGAGAAAAATTTAGTGATGTAGAAAGGCAAATAGATAGGGCATGGGATAAACTATGTCAGTGCCAAACAAAGTTGCAGAAGGATACAAGGAATATCACACTGATAGAGGAAGAGATCATGCTAGCAAAGGAGTATCAAGAGTGGAAATTAGCAAGGGACAAGTTCATGAGGCAGAAAATCAAGGTGCAGTGGCTGAACTATGGGGACTTAAATATAAAGTTCTTCCACAATGCAATAAGAGCAAGAAGGAATGCTAATCGAATTTTCTCTGTGAAAGATAAGGAGGGTCAGCAAAGAAGAGGTACATAAGATATCAACAGGGCATTTATAGAATACTATAGTGATCTACTTGGGACTAAATCTCAGGATAGAACACCAGCCAGTAGTGAGTTCATTAACATGGGACCAAGGCTAAACAATGCTCAAAGGGAGAAGCTGGAGTAGAGTTTACAAAGAAGGAGATCAGAAAAGCAATGTGGGTAATCAATGGAGATAAGGCACCTAGGCCTGATGGATATGGAAGCCAATTCTTCAAGGATGCTTGGGGAGCCAATTGTTCAAGGATGCTTGGGGGATAGTGGGCAGAGATCTGGAAGATGGAGTCATAGAATTCTTCAGGACAGGGAAAATGCTAAAAGGTGTTAAATGTAACAGTGATTACTCTGATCCCAAAGAGTACCCATGCAGATTGTGTAGGGGACAATAGACTAATATCATGCTACAACACTATATACAATGCGATCTCAAAAATGCTCTATAATAGACTGAAAGAAGTTCTGCCAGACATAATATAAGAGAATCAGAGTGCATTTGTAGAAGGGAGGGCTATTGCACACAACATACTCATCTGTCAAGATTTAGTAAGGTTGAATAACAGGAAAAACACCACAAAAAGCTTCCTCATAAAGATTGATCTTAAAAAAGCCTATGATTCTGTTGAATGGGATTTTGTGCTAGAGATGCTGCATGGACTGAATTTCCCTTGCAAGTTTACAAAATGGATAATGGAATGTATTTCCACTACCCAATACTCCATAGCTTTCAATGGAGGGATACATGGCAATTTCAAAGGAAAAAAGGGACTAAGACAAGGCAACCAAATATCACCCCTGCTATTTGTTATTTGTATGGAGCATTTCACAAGAATCATGAAATGGGTGGCTAGCTAGGAGGAATTCAAGTTCCATACAAAGTGTAAAAGCATGAAACTAAACCACTTGTGCTTCGCAGATGATATGCTTATATTCAGTAGGGGAGAATTTAGATCAGTGTTGTTGTTGTTGTTGTTGTTGTTGCGTGGGCTCAAGACTTTCTCCAATGCTTCAGGTCTAACTGTGAATGATGGTAAGTCCAATATATACACAGCTAACATGGAAAATACAGAAATGGAAGCCATATGCGAGACCATAGGGTATGATAAAGGAAAATTACCCTTCAGATATTTATGGGTCCCAATCTCATCAAAGAAAATTTCAGCAATTGAATATGAAGTACTGGTGGATAAGATGGCATGCAGAATGAAAACATTGGGCTCAAAGAACCTATCGTATGCTGGAAGAGTTCAACTAGTAAATTCAATATTGTTACATGTACATACATACTGGGCATCAATGTTTATTTTGCCCAAAACATGATGAAACAGATGATGGGCCATATGTAGAAATTTCCTATGGACCGGACAGGTAAACACAAACAGGCCTCCTCTGATTGCATAGGACCTAGTCTGTCGACCAAAGAAGGAAGGCGGGTTAGGGATCACAAAAGGCATTATTTGGAATGAAGAAGCAGTGACCAAATATGTATGGAATGTGCCAAATAAAGTTGATAACCTATGGGTTAAATGGGTGAGCAATGTATACTTAAAAGACCAAGAGTGGTGGCAATATGAACCCCCCACTGATAGTTGTTGGTATTGGAAGAAATTATGTATGATCAAGAACAAATTCAAACCATGTTATGTCCAGAATGGATAGATAAAACAACAAGGAAAGTACACCACTAAGAATGGATACAGGTGGAGAAGAGGAGAAGGTGAATAATGGAGATACTGGAGGGGGGTACGAAATATAGTGAATGTACCTAAGCATAAATTTATAAGCTGGTTGGAAATGCATCATAGACTATCGACTAGGGAGAGGCTAGTAGCAATGGGAATATGTCAAGACGAGACATGTCTACTATGTGGTGAACACAAAGACACGATGAAGCACCTATTTTTTAAATATGAATTCTCAAGGATATGCATCACATAAGTACTTATGTGGATGAAAATCAAACTTCAACAGCTAGATATAGAGAGTATATGGACAAAGATAGCGAGCAAAGCAAAAGGAAAAATGAGCAAATCCATTATCTGGGCGGGAATAGCAGCAGTAATATACCACATATGGTTAGCAAGGAATGATGCATTATGGAATTGTATACAGTCAAAATCAGATTGCCCTTCGTATGACTAATCGAGATTGGGACATAATAGAATAAGGCACGGCCTCGTGCAGAATCATAATGCGAAGAAGGGTCGTCGAGCTCGTGATCCGGAGACCGATCAAGATCGGCCAAGAAAGAGATCGTGCAAGTGAGACCGGTCATAATCGAGGTCGGCCAAGATCGAGATCGAGCAAGTTAGAGATCGATCAAGATCGAGATCGGCCAAAATTGAGGATAGCTTATCGAGCCAAAAAAATAGAAAACCGAAATATCAGCAATTGGGCGAGAATCTCGGCGAAAATCCCGGTGCATATCAAGTAAGGGTCAATTAATTAATCTATCATGGGATTCCTTACTGTATTTAGAAATTATATTAAGAGTAATACTTCCCTACTATATAAAGAAGGGTCTGATTATTTGTAAGAGAGATTCATTAAGATTCATAGAGCATAAAGCAATATATTATCTTTTTCTAGTTTTGATATTTAGTCTTAGTGTTCTTCTATCAGTTACTATCCATTCAGTTTGAGGGTGATAAAACTTGAAGGCTTAAGCTAATTAATTCATTCGCTTTGCATTCATTTCTTTTACAGTTTATTTCGATATTCATTTATATATTTTCTCAATTTGTACCGAATTATACCACGTATCCTTAGAACCACGTATAAATTTAATTGATTATTTATTTTTTAGATAAACAGTTTGGCGCCCACCGTGGAGCTAAGGATAATAGTGGTTATTTGATATAAATCTTTGTAAAATACACTATTTTACATTTGCTCTTGGAAGTATCTTTGATTTTAATCTAAAAATGACAAACTCTCAATTAATACCCCTACATATCGACATCGAATCTGGCCATCAAGGGGATAATAACAACGAGATTCCCGGGGATGGAAGGGACCCGCTGACCCCGTTAAAACTCGGGTCGTGGATCTAATTGATGTTAATTCGCATGTGGGCATCGAAGCAAACCAACATTCTGGTCCCGAAAATAGCATCCATGGTGGAATCCGATCTGCAATTCGAAATACCCAATATGTTGGAGAAGACGGGATTATCCTGCATATGATCTTTGAAATGCTACAAGCTCAACAGGTAGTGATAGCTCAGTAGCAGATCCAAACCCAGGCACCGAGCAGGGTCGAGCCCGGTCCACCCCAAGAAGTCACCCACAGAATGGGGCCAGTTGTGGTAAGGTCAAATGAACAAGAATCGGGGACTAACCCCGAAATTATAAAGATACTCGAGGAACTGACAAAGCGAATAGAATCAGGGGAAAAGAGGATCGAAGCAAATGACAAGAAAGTGGAAACCTATAACTCCAGGGTTGATCAGATCCCGGGGGCACCACCAATACTGAAGTGTTTGGATTCCAAAAAGTTCATACACAAGCCTTTCTCCCCGAGCGCAGCTCCCAACCCGATCCCCAAGAAGTTTCGCATGCCCGAGATTACTAAGTATAATGGAACGACCGACTCCAACGAGCGTGTCACCTCTTACACGTGTGCCATTCAAGGGAATGATCCAGAGGGTGACGATATTGAATCTGTATTACTAAAGAAATTTGGGGAAACCCTGTCAAAGGGAGCAATGATATGGTATCATAATTTACCACCTAACTCTATCGATTCTTTTGTCGTGCTTACAGATTCTTTAGTAAAAGCACACACCGAAGCCATAAAGGTCGAAACTAGGAAGTCGGACCTTTTTAAGGTAAAGCAAAAAAGAGAACGAGATGC